CAGTTTTCAGAAGTTGGTTCTCTTCTTCCACCATGCAGATTCCAGGGATGAAGCTCAGGCCAACAGGCATGGTGGCCATCATCTTTGCCAGTTGAGCCGCCTTGCTGGCCTACGGGAGGTTCACAGGCAGGAAATACGTCAGGATGTATGCCAGCCCCTGGTTGCCCCTGATGGGAAATGCAATGAATTACGGGTTTTCCTTTTTAGGCACTTGCCATACTTGATTCTGGGCCATTTCCCAGGAACCAGAGCCCATCCACCTGGCCAGTATTTAATTAAAGCTTGCTTCAAATTCGGCTCTAAACTGTGGTGGTGGTATTCTCAGTCGGTGGGATTAACAGGCCCCACCATCAACATGGTCAAGAGGTCAAGGGGATTGTTCTGGCCCCAGTTGGCCATGGGCCTTGTTCTCTACACAGCTGTCTTATTCTAGGGTCATTTCTGTTTTTGTTTGTGTTTTTGAGATAGAGTCTCCTATAGCCCAGGCTGACTCCAAACTAACTGTGTAGCCTGGGCTAACCTTCAATTTGCTGATCCTACTCCTAAACATTGGGATGTTAGTGTTTGACACCATGCCTGATTTGTATATGAATGGGGATCTAATCCAGGGCACGGTACATGTTGGACAAGCACCCCACAATTGGGTTTCATCCCTATCCTCAGGAAAGGTTTTTGTTTTTTGTTTTTTTTTTTAAATCTTTTAAAAATTAGTGTGAGCCGGGCGGTGGTGGCGCACGCCTTTAATCCCAGCACTTGGGAGGCACAGGCAGGTGGATCTCTGTGAGTTTGAGGCCAGCCTGGGCTACCAAGTGAGTCCCAGGAAAGGTGCAAAGCTACACAGAGAAACCTTGTCTCGAAAAAACAAACAAACAAATAAAAATTAGTGTGTGTACCAGGCTTTTTCTTTTAGGCCACCAACCAGTTCCCAAAATCACGTCACAGAGACTTAATATTAGTTATGAATGCTTGGCCTTATCTCAGCTCTTATTTTACTCTTTTCTCTTTACCTATGTTCTGCTTCGGGTTTTGTTTTTTTTTTTTTTTTTTTGGTTTTTCGAGACAGGGTTTCTCTGTGTAGCTTTGCGCCTTTCCTGGAACTCACTCTGTAGCCCAGGCTGGCCTTGAACTCACAGAGATCCGCCTGTCTCTGCCTCCTGAGTGCTGGGATTAAAGGCATGTGCCACTACTGCCTGGTGTGTTGCATTCTTTTATGCAGCATTTGTTTAACGCTGTGAAGCTGTGCTACTTTGCCTGCCTAAAACACCTGATTGGTCCAATAAAGAGCTGAACGGCCAATAGCTAGGCATGAGAGAGAAACAGGCAGGACTGGTGGGCAGAAAGAAGAAATAGGAGAGAAAGGAATGAGAAAAGCAGAAGGAGAGGGGGATGCTAGGGGCCAGTCACACAGCCAACCACAGACTAAGAAGAAAAAATATCAGAGATAGAGTGCTTGCAGATAGAGTGACATCCTGGGTTCCATTCCCAGCACTGCCAAAAGAAGATGAAGGCAGGGCACCAAGATGACTTACTGGACAAAAGGTGCTTCTTGCCAAACCTGATAACATGAACTCCATTCCCAGAACCCAGGGTGGAAGAAAGAACCAATTCCTAAAAGTTGCCCTCTGGTCTCCACATGCGAGCTGGGAGTGCAGGCATGTACCGCCAAGGGACCATATGTATTCATCAAAAACATTTTTTTTTAATTGAAAACAAATAAAAAATCTTGGTCAGTATTCGGTCTGGCCTTCAGTCTGTGGGCTGTCACATGCCAAAAGCCCAGTCTGTAGATTCATCAGGAGGTCCCTACAAAGTCGCAGTGAGCTGGGTCTCTGTCTCCCCTGAGACAGGTTTTGTGGCTCCTTGTCTGCAAGCTTTGCTCTTTCTCCCCACAGAGCGCCCTTAGGCCCCTGAGGCCATCTCACTCCCGGAGGCATACATCACAGCCTGAACGAGTTGAGAATTGTGGGTAGAAACCACTCAAAGAGAGTCCCTGATTCTAAGAGGGCCACCTCCTGCTCTGCTTCATCTTCTCTAGCTGGGAGCTTTGAACAGGTGGCACCAGGCAGAGGCTCAGTGCCTGCTGGGGGTCTTGGCACAGCCACTAATCCCAGTAGGGAGGTGGAGATACAAGGGTCAGGATATCAAGGCCAGCCTTGGCTAAATAGTGAGTTCAAGGACAGCCTGTGCTACATAAAATCTTGTCTTTAAAAAAAAAAAAAAAAAAGGCTATGTGGCCTTATTTGCTGTACTGGTCAGTTTTTGTCAGTTCAACACAAACTAAAGTGACCTGAGAAGCGGAACCTTCAATGGAGGGATTGTCTTCATGGATTGGCCCGTGACTGGTCTGCACAGCACTTCCTTGTTGTTTTTCCAGACAGGGTTTCTGTGTAGCCCTGGCTGTCCTGGAACTCACCCTGTAGACCAGGCTGGCCTCGAACTCACAGAGATCTGCCTGCCCCTGCCTCCTGAGTGCTGGGATTAAAGGTGCGCTATCACCACCACCGGGCTGTGCAGCATTTCTTAATTGCTAAATGATGTAGGAGGGACCAGTCTACTCTGGGTGCGTCATCCCTGGTAATGAGCCTGGCTATTAGAAAAGTAACAGCGGAAGCCAGAGGAAGTACGCCAGTAAGCAGCACTCATCTGTGTTGCTTTGGTTTTTGCTTCAAGCACCAGTCTTGAGTTCCTGCCTTGACTTCCCTCCCTGATGGACTGTAACTTGTAAGATGAAGTGAACCCTTTCCTCCCGAAGTTGCTTCTGGCCAGTGTTTTATCACAGCCACATAAAAGTATTTAGAATGTGTAGATAGGCAGAAGAGGAACCGGCAGGAGACACGTGAGACTGCTGGAAGTACAGGACACCTGTGACTGTGATCAGGACACTGAGGAGTGAACTCTAAGGTGGACCCTCAGGACTTCTAACCAGCCACTGGGAAGGTACAATGGGTAGACACGCAGCATCTCTGATTGGCAACGGCCAACGCCTCATACCCAGGAATCTGGCCTTGAGTTTCTCACACAGGAAGATGTGGGACAACCTTCATCTTGAATGTTACAGTAGGGTAAGTCTTTCCCTGCTGTCTATTGTCTAAGACAGAACTGGGCTGTTCCCTGAACCCTAGTTATTTCGGGAAGATCTTAGAGATTTAGTCTTGCTATGTAGCCTCAGCTCTGACTCTAACTGTGATCCTCCTACCTCTGCTTCCTGAATGCTGGGATGACAGGAGTGTGCTAGCACTCCTGCTGTGGTTTCTATCCCTCCAGGAGTATGTGAGTGCTGCACGCTGACTCGGTGCAAATTCCACTCTTTCCTGACCCCCTTTCACAGGTTGGTGCCTTGTGATGGAGTAGTGTGGGCGGGTCTATGTTGTGTGTTCCATGTATGAGCGTCAGTGGCTGAGTTGACACATTTGATGGGTGAGGACAGGTTTGGGGGGTGTGCCTGCAGGCTGGTGTGCAGGCCAGGGTGTTGCATATAGTTACAAATCTGCCTTCTAGAGTATACCTCAGCTCATTTCTGGATTCATGTTTGTGTGCATGCATGCATCCATGCTGTGTGTGTAGGGGGTGCAGTCTGAGGAACTCGATGTACAGGGAGCAAGCAGCAAGCAGGCTCTGGGTTTGTTTTTCCTGCTGAGTTGGGAAACCTCTCCCTAGCGGGTGCCCCAGCAGCCTAGCAACTGCTTCATCCATCCAGTTGTTTCTGCTGCCTTTCTGGGACCCAGAGGTGCATATCCACAGGAGTCTAGCTGAAGCTTGTCAGCATCCCTGATGCTGTTGGGAGTCTTGGGGCAGCGCGGAGACACAGTTCCACAGATGGTTCTCGGTTCTGTCTCTGCCACCATTTTGAAAAGTTCTTCCATCTTGGTTAAATGGTGACAATTCCTCCAAACCATGTGGATTAGCCGTCCTAGATTCCTGCCACTGGTCCACCGCAGAACCCGATGACGCTGGCCCTAGGAAATGTCTAACAATCATTTGATATTCCTTTACTCATTACTCACCCTTCTTTGTCACTCCTAGCAAGTCCAATGTCAGGCCAAAAAGGAAAATGTCCACCTTCCTCCCTGGCCCTGCTTTCTGCCCTATAACTATTCCACTTGTAACTGGATGGGCCCTGATTCTTACAGACTCCCTCTTAAGTTTTTCCCTAAATAAAGGCCGACACTGTGCTTAGACGAAGTTCCCCGTCTTTCCTTCTTGATGGCTGTTCACTCCCACAGCCCAGGTCTCCTGCTGCACAGCAGGGTGAGGACACTTCTGAGCCCCGTGAGCTTGGAGGTGAGAGACCCTGAGGCAAACCAACCGCCCTACAAGGAGGCTTTGGGAAGCCACTGGATGACTCTTCCATCAAGCTGGGCAAGCCACAGCTTAGCTCTTGCGTGCTCCCACTAGATGCTGCTGGGGCCTATCCAAGTGGATCTCCATGGTGACCGGTACACTTGCTGCCAGCCTCCATGAGCACTGGTTGCTACAGTCACAGCTTTCTAGCTAAATCCACTCTACTCTACCCTCCTTTTTTGAGCTAGGGCCTTGATATAGAGCCAGGCTAGCCTTGAACTCAGTCTCCTAGAGTACTGGGATTACAGGCATGTAATTACAGGCATGTGCCACCATTCCCAATTCAACAATACTTCTGTGCTGGCAAAATGGCTCACCAAATAAGAGCACCAACCACCAAGCTTGCCAACCACAACTGTAGAAGGAGAAGCTGAGTCTTCCAAATTGTCCTCTGACCTCCACATTGCATACCATGGCACATGCATGCCTATATGCTCAAGCACACATGTACACACACACACACACACACACACACACACGTGCGCATTAATGTATTTTTTTAAAAGTTTTTTTGTTTTGTTTTGAAACAGGATCTCACTATGCAGTCCTGAATGGCCTGCAACTCACAGAGATCCTCCTGCCTCTGCCTTCTAAGTGCTGGGATTAAAGGTGTGGGTCAGCTTTTTCAAAGTTTTTAAAAGTAAATATTCTTTACTTACTTACTGTGTTCCAGGCGCTGCGTAAAGCCAGAGAGAGGAAGAGGGATGGGAAAGACAAACAAACACCAAGAACCAGCCTTGGAAATGTCAAAATGCAACTCTGAGCAGTGCTGAGAGGCAGGAGTGGGAGCCTGGGGGGCAGGCGAGTGAGGAAAAGCAGGTTCGAGAGCACAGGTCCTTGCTGGGGGCCTGATGACTCAGTTGATTTCCGAAGGATAAGGAAAATGTCGCAGAGAGAAGCACTGAAGAGAGCAGGGACACGTGAACAAAGGTCTGTGGCAGGCAGCAGTGGAGAAGGGTGGCCTGTGGAGCTGAGGAGAGAGAGGGCCCAGGTGGGAAGCTGGACGCTGTCCCCTCCATCAGCCGAGCAGTGAAGGCTGATGAGGGTTTCAGAGTCCCCTCTTCATGTCTGGCATCCGTCATGATGGAGTGACCGTTCCCGCCTGGCTGTGACATCCCCTGGCTCCCAGCATTCTTGGGCTTGTCCCAGCAGGCATGCCAGGTGACTCAGAGAGACACCCACGGGTGCGGCTGATTCTGCAAACTGCAATGCCCAGGGTCTCATTCACAGCATGTGATGGCTGATTCTTTTAAAACTTAATTCAATAATGAATTCATTCGTGTATATGTGTTCCCAGGAGGTGCACCATGGCGCACACCGGTGGAAGTCTGAGAACAGCTTGCAGGAGTCAGTTCTCTCCTCCTACCTCGTGAGTTCCAGGATTCTTCACCCAGTCTCTCGGGCTTGGTGGCAGTCGCCATGCCCTCGCATGCTGAGCCATTTCCCACCTCCCTGATGGTTAATCTTGATTGTCAACTTGACTCAGTTTGGAATCAACATGGAAACACACCTCTGGGCATGTCCAGAAAGGTTTACAAAAAGAGGACAGAGCCACCCTGAGTGTGAATAGCACCACCCTATTGGCTGGAATTCCCGGCTGAGTACAAAGGGGAAAGTTAGGGGAGTGCCGGCATTCATCTACTAATGATGTGACCGTGTGCTCCCGCCTTGCCCCACCTTGACAGAATCTCCCCTCCTTAACTAATGATGTGACCGTGTGCTCCTGCCTTTCCCCACCTCGACAGAATCTCCCCTCCTTAAGTTGCTTCTAGACAGCTAGCTAAGAGCTGGAGAGATAGCTTGGTGGTTAAGAGCACTGGCTGCTCTTCCAGAGGACCCGGGTTCAATTCCCAGCACCCACATGGCGGCTCACAGCTTTCAGTTCCGGGGAATCCAGCAGCTTCTCTGGAGTATCAAGGACACAGTGGTGCACAGATATGTGTGCAGGCAAAATATGCATACACACAAAATAAATTTTAAAAAAAGAAGTAACTAAAACACAGGAAGGTGGCAGGGTAGCCAGGGGACAGAAAAGCACATTTCTAACAGGATCTTCTCTTGGTCACCCTTGCTGCCTCTCCAGCCCCACCTGCCATCTGCACAGGCACTCACACTTGGGGAGTGTGGTCTGTTCAGGGGGAGGGGTGGGAGGCAGCGGGGAGAGTGGTTCTGCTTCCTCGGGAGGAGGAAGAGAAACAGCTGCTGGGGCTGAGGGGAAGGAGGCTCTTGAAGGCAAATGGGTCTGTGGGGAGCAGACCAGGGAATGCTTACCTCAGCTCTACCTGCCTTGCCTTCTCCCCACTTCCTGTCTGGGGCTGGCGGGGGTGGGGGAAACAGGGGGTGAACTCCCAGAATGCCTTGCAGCCAAACCTGCTGGATAATGAGATTTTGTCTGATGACTAAGGCATGTTAACACAGCAGATTCTAAGACCCAGTTCCAACACTCTATATATGTGCTTGCACACACACAGACACTGAACAAATTCACACTCAGACTGTGTGGCAAACACATGTGAACATACATACATAGACTGCTTAGGATTTTGGCTCCAAACTAATCTTCAGAATTATCAGAGGAGCTTGTAAAATGCAGACTCCTGGACCACAGAAATTGATGAGCCTTATGTCTTCAGAGAAGCCCAGGATTCTGTACTGGAGCAGTGGGGTGTGTGTGTGTGTGTGTGTGTGTGTGTGTGTGTGTTGTTTTGTTTTTAGAGACAGGGTTTCTCTGTATAACAGCCCTAGCTGTCCTGGAACTCTGTCGATCAGGCTGGCTGGCCTCCAACTCACAGACATCCACCTGCCTCTGTCTCCCAAGTGCTAGGATTAAAGGTGTGCACCACCACCGCCCAGCAGATATCCACATTTTTGTTTGTTTTTTGTTTTTTGGGACAGGGTTTCTCTGTGTAGTTTTGGTGCCTGTCCTGGAACTTGCTCTGTAGCCCAGGCTGGCCTTGAACTCACAGAGATCCGCCTGCCTGTGCCTCCCGAGTGCTGGGATTAAAGACTCGCGCCACCGCTGGACGGCAGATATCCACATTTTAACCCCCAGTCCCAAGACAGTTTTATGTTACATGCCAAGGAGGAACTGAGGCCCTATGTGGAGCGAAGGTTGCTACTTAAGTAACTTTAAAAGGAAACTTTAGGACTAGGGTAGAGCTCTGCAGCAGAGCCCTTCCCCAGTGTATACAAGGCCTGGGATTCTAGCCCCACCATCAGAATAACAATACATAAAACAAAGCTTCTTGGGTGAAATGGACTGAACGAGTCTTTCTACAGTATATAAGGTTAAAACCTTAAGTCCCCACGTGATCAATGGTCTTAGGCTGCAAAGACTTGGGAAAGTAATCAGGACATGGTGGCCCCTCATACTCTAGATCTCAGCCAAAAGTGGCTGAGGTGTAATGTAAGTAGGACCACAGCCCTTCTGAGAGGGAGGAGATAAAGGAAGAAGGTAGTTTGTTTGGAGGAGCATCCTGCCAGGATGCACCCCATGGGTACCCAGGTCTGGACTTTATAGAACCCAGAGAAGAGCTGCCTCTAAGCCCTGAGTCTTGGGTGCGTTGTGCCCCCTGCTGTGGGTCCACTAGAGCAGCCTTACCCACCAGGACTCAGGGTAAAGCTGAGGCAGCAGAGGGAAGCAGAAGGTCCGCTGGAGAAGGAAGCCGGGGTTGCCATCATGCAAAGTCAGGCTCAACCAATGATTCCTAGACCCGAGGATGGAAGGAGGCCACAGGTCAGGGATGCTGGAAGCTTCTAGAAGCCAGAAAAGGCAGAGAAACACACTGGCCCCTAGAACTGAAAAGGATACAGCCCTGTGACAGCTTGGCAGACTGAAGAACCCTAAGGTAACAAATGAGTGTTTTAAGTGCTACCTATTTGGTGATGGCTACAGCAGCTATAGGAAATGAACAGCCATGTGTATTGTTTCTGAGGACCACTGGGCTGCTCCAGACAGCCCCCTATGCCTGTAAGAATGGACTCCTAGCCAGGTGGAGACAGGCGATGGGAACAGAAACTCTGGTTATAAGGATACCCCTAGGGAACTTGGAATGGACACAGACGTTTCCAGGACTGCATGGTGTCCTGTCCTAGGGCACTGTCCTTACCAACCACTGCTGGAAGGCATGGTGAATGCGCTGAGGATCCTAGGGATACACACAGCAACAACTAAGCCGGGCACTAAAAAGGTTAATGGGGAGGAAAAGCAGTAAGCAGGGGACAAGTCTGGATACAAAAGTCGCCATGACTCGGAATAACAACACCCTTATGGCAGACACAGGGCAGGGACAGTGGCTGCACAGGAGGCCGTCATGATTCCTCATGAACCACATGGTCTTCTTGGTGACCGAATGACCTGGCCCCACCTTATCCCTGAGCAGACACAGGATGCAGGCAGCCGCTTCCTTCCTGGGGTCTGCATTTCCCTGTGTAGAGGACAGCCACCTTCCTTTTCCTGCCGTCCTCCTGCCTCCAAGCCTGGAGATGGAGAGGACAGATGGACTGTCGGACAGTTAGTCACCCTCACATGCCTCTGAGCACCTACTGCATGCTGACACTGGCTGGGACTGTCATCCACACATTCTTCAAGTCCTCCTGAAGTAGGTCATGCCCAGGGCGGGGCGGGATGGATAGCTTATGATTCGCCTCACTTGAGGTGCTTAGGAAAGACAGGAAGAGAGCCAGGACAGATGCAGGGGCAGAGGGAAAAGTGAGCGGGTGCTGGTGTTTGGAGAGTGGACCGTGGTGATCAGCAGACCGAGTGTGTGGGACTGACACTAAAAGCAGTTTGGTGTCACACCTATGTTATCCTCTAAAGACTCTTTGAATTAGCACTTATTCATTTACCATGTGTACACGCGGAGGTCACAGAACGGCCTTTAAGAGTCGGTTCTCAGGGCTGGAGAGATGGCTCAGAGGTTAAGAGTACTGACTGCTCTTCCAGAGGTCCTGAAAGACCCAGCAATTCCCAGCAACCACATGGTGGCTCACAACCATCTGTAATGAGATCTGGTGCCCTCTTCTGACCTACAGTCATACATGCTGTATACATAATAAATAAATCTTTTAAAAAAAAAAAAAGAGTCGGTTCTCTCCTTCCGCATGTATTTCTGGGCCGGAACTGAAGCCATCAGGTTTGGCTATAAGTACTTTCCCCTTCAGTCAGCTTGCCAACCGCTCCCCCCCAAATTTTAAGCACCCTCAAATGGCATGACTGAATGAAAATGTTCTGCAGGGATTCTCATCAGTAGCTGCTGATACTATTGTTTTGGAAGGACGTGAGGCTTGGCTGGCAGCAGGTCACTAGGGTGGGCCTTGGAGGGTATGCCCTCTCATCTAATGCTTGCTCTCTGCTTCTTGGTCTTCCATGACCCAAACAGCCCGCCACACACCCCCCACATACATACACGCACACCACATATACCACATACACACACACACACCATACACACCACATACACACACAGACCACATATACACATGCCATATATACATACCACATACACACCACAGACATACAACATACACATACATATAAACACACTACATACACCACATACATACACACACATACCACATACACACACACACACACCACATACACATCACATACACACAACATACCACATACGCACTACATACACACACACACACACACACACACACACACACACACACACTACCACCAGGAACAGAGACATTAAACTCTGTCTTCCTCACCACTGTGGACTGAAACTTCCATCATGAGCCAACAAGTCTTTTTTACCTTAGGTCGCTCCTGTCAGGCATCTGGCCATTTCGAGAAATCAAGACTTTTTCATTGTTTTGAGACAGGGTTTCTGTGTAGTCCTGGCTGTCCTGGATCTTGCTCTGTAGACCAGGCTGGCTTTGAACTCACAGAGATCTCCTGCCTCTGCCCCCCAAACCCTGGGATTAAAGGTGTTTAATCTGAAAGAAAGCATCTAACAGAAACAAGATTTTCAACATCTTTTTTTCTTTTTCTTTTTCTTTTTAGTTTTTCGAGACAGGGTTTCTCTGTGTAGTTTTGCGCCTTTCCTGGAACTCGCTTTGGAGACCAGGCTGGCCTCGAACTCACAGAGATCCGCCTGCCTCTGCCTCCCAAGTGCTGGGATTAAAGGCATGCGCCACCACTGCCCGGCAATTTTCAACATCTTAAAACAGAGGTGCTCCGTTCCCCTTGCAGATGAGAAAAAGAAAGCTCAGATGCTGAACAGACTTTTCCCAGCATCTCATAGCACAGAACAGCAGAACTGGATTTGAACCCCAAATCCAGATTCGTTTCTCCGTATTCCTCTGAGTACAGCAGAAGTGGGATTCAGAGGAGGTGTCCAGAGAGTTAAGAAGAGGCTAAGCTCTGACGTCCTGAGAGGCCACCTGCGGAGGATGGGGCCAGGCATTTCACCTCCCCCACCCCCAGACAGGCTGCTTCGCTGGGTTTCCCTTGACAACCCTTGTTTTCCACGATGACATTGGAAGCCGCTGGCCCAAGAGTGCAGTGAAGCAGGGCAGAGGAATTAAGACATCTGCTGTTCTCTGTAGCAACTGTACTAGCATGCTAGCAATCTGCCATCCAGAGGCAGGGGACAAGCCAGTGTCTATCAGGGTTACCCCACAAACCTGCAGAGGCTTTCAGAATTAGTGGGATGCCCCAGAGTCCAAGGCTAACACTGAAAAGACAAGGGGTCCAATGTGACAGGCAGGTCTGTCTCTACACAGGGGGAGCCCAGAACACAGGACAGGTGGGCTGGTTAGTTTTTTGTCAACTTGACACAAGCCAGAGTTTTCCTAAAAGGACACCTCGATTGAGAAAATGCCCCCATCAGGCAAGGTTGGTGTGGGCGGGTCCATCTCACTGTGGGTGGGGCCACCCTGGACAGGTGGTCTTGGATGTGTAAGAAAGCAGGCTGAACAGGTCATGGGGAGCAAGCCAGTAAGCAGTGTTCCTCCATGGCCTCCACATCAGTCCTGTTTCCAGGTTCCTGCCTTGGGTTCCTGCCCTGCTTCTTTTCAGTGATCAACTGTGATTGGAACATATAAGCCAAACAAACCCTCTCTTTGGTCGAGGTGTTTATCAGAACAGGAACTGGGACAACAGGTATCTAGAGAACAGACCTACTGGCCACAAGCAAAGCAGAGGACAGAAGCCTTGGGAGGGATGTGACCTCTCCTGGTGACTCTCACATCAGCACGAAGAACACCAAAGTGATGG